CTTGTGATCCACCTGCCTCAGCCTCCCAAAGTGCTGGGATTACAGGCGTGAGCCACCGTGCCCGGCCAGCTACTGTTTTAAAAACCTTTTTGGGCTGGGCGCAGTGGCTCAAATTTGTAATTTGAGCACTCTGGGAGGGCAGGGCTGGTCAATTGCTTTAGTACAGGGATTCGAGACCTCCCCAGGGGACATGGCAAAACCCCATCTCTCTAAAAATACAGAAGTTAGCCAGGCGTGGTGGTGCATGCCTGTGGTCCCAGCTGCTCAGGAGACTGAGGTGGGCAGATCACTTGAGCCTGGGAGGAGGAGGTTGCTGTGAGCCAAGATCAAGCCACTACACTCCATCCTGGGCAACAGAATGAGGTCCCATCTCAACAACAACAAAGTGGTGGGGCTCACTCTGTTGTCTGGGCTGGTCTCAAACTCCTGGGCTCAGATGATCCTCCTGCCTTGGCCTCTCAAAGCATTGGGATTCTAGGCATGAGCCACTGTGCCTGGTTCCTCTTGTTAAAATGATGCCAGTCATCGGATTTAGGGCCATCACAATCCAGTACGACTGTATCTTAACTATATGTGCAAGGACCCTATTTCCAAATAAGGTCACATTCTGAGGATCCTGGTGGGCATGAATTTTGAGGGGACACCGTTCAACCCACTTCACAGCTCTTGCATAGTTCTTACAACCACTCCTGGGCTCTTCACCACTCCACACTGATGGGACCGAAGCTCCAGCAGGAGCTGCACCAGGTGACAAAGCTGAGTGACAGATACCCTGCTTTACTTCGAATCTCCCATCTGCTCTCTCAACTAAGCTCATCTTGCGTGGGCTACCAGTTGGCTCCTCCTTACCTTAAAATGTGATTACCAGCCGGGCACAGTGGCTCATGCATGTAATCTCAGAACTTTGGGAGGCTGAGGCAGGTGGATTACTTGAAGTCAGGAGTTTGAGACCAGCCTGGCCAGCACGGTGAAACCCTGCCTCAACTGAAAATACAAAATTTAGCTGAGTGTGGTGGTGCGTGCCTGTAGTCCCAGCTACTCGGAGGCTGAGGCAGTAGAATTGCTTGAATTCATTTAAAAAAATAATAAAAATATAGGCTGGGTGCGGTGGCTCATGCCTGTAATCCTGGCACGTTGGAAGACCAAGGTGGGTGGATCATAAGACAGCCTGACCAATATGGTGAAACCCAGTCTCTACTGAAAATGCAAAAACTTAGCCTGGTGTGGTGGCAGGCACCTGTAATTCCAGCTACTTGGGAGGCCGAGGCAAAGAATTGCTTGAACCCGAGAGGTGGAGGTTGCAGTGATCCCAAGATCCCAGCACTTTGGGAGGCCGAGGCAAGAGGATCACTTGAGGTTAGGAGTTCAAGACCAGCCTGGCCAACGTGGAAAAACTCTGTCTCTACTAAAAATTCAAATATTAGCTGGGCATGGTAGCAGGTGCCTGTAGTCCCTGTTACTTGGGAGGCTAAGGCAGGAGAATCGCTTGAACCTGGGAGGCGGAGATTGCAGTGAGCTGAGATCACACCACTGCACTCCAGCCTGGGTGACAGAGCAGATCTCTGTCTCAAAAACAAAGAAAAAAAAAAAAGATATGGATGGCATATCCTTGTACCTCCGGGTCTGGCACACAGTGCTAGCCCCCACATCCCCACTCCCCCCAGGGTTGATGGCATGGCTCACACCCTGACCTGCAGATTGGGGAGGCTCTGCCAGCTTATAGGTTTCAGCAGCAGGGAGTGCATCCAAACTGCTTCCAGAGAAGTAGGGATGTGGGTGTGATCATTACTCGTGCCTCAAAATCCAACATGACTAATTTACAAACACACAAGTCACCACAAATGATTTGGGGAGGAGGGGAAAAGTGCAGACAGGCCACCTTTTGGATTGTTTTAGGAAACCAGGAAGCGGGGAGCACAGCGTTGCAGTGAGGGCAAACGGAAGCTGGAGTCCTGGCTCTGAGGGCCCCCCATCCAGCTGGGCCGATGGAGGAGACAGGTAGTCTGTGCTGGGTCATGGTGAGGCTCACAAAGGGTGGGGCCAGGGCCATGCGGGGCATCATGGCCTCAGAAGTCTGAGATCTTGTTTTCTTTTTGAGACAGAATCTGACTTTGTCACCCAGGCTGGAATGTAATAGCGCCATGCACTGCCACCTTGACCTCTCAGGTTCAAGCAGTTCTCCTGCCTCAGCCTCCCAAGTAGCTGGGACTACAGACACCTGCCACCATGCCCAGCTAATTTTTTTTGTATTTTTAGTAGAGACAGCGTTTCACTATGTTGGTGAGGTTGGTCTCAAACTCCTGACCTCGTGATCTGCCAGCCTCAGCCTCTCAAAATGCTGGGATTACAGGTGTGAGCCACTGTGCCCGGCCTGAGATCTGGTTTTCAATCTGAACTCGTCACCCTTAGTGGGAGACCTAGGGCACGTTTCTCTTCAATCCCAGGTTTCACATCTCAACAAGGGACAGTAGTAACTACCTCAGAGGATCGTCAAAGGTGAAAATGTCCAGTAGTTTCTGGCATTTATGACATGTTGGGGCAATGTTAGCTCACTGCTGTCCCATTTACTAAGCATGTAATGCACCATGCGTTTCTGAACCTCATACCCGAGAGTGACTGGCACAGGGCTGATGTTCATTAAAGGTTTATTATTTTTTAAAATTTTAAACTCAAAATCGTTTTAGACTTGAAGAGTTGCACAAATACTAGCATGTTTCTCTATTTCCTATATCCAGCTTCCCCTAATTTTTTTTTTTTTTCCGAGACAGAGTCTTGATCTGTCACCCAGGCTGGAATGCAGTGGCGCGATCTCGGCTCACTGCAACCTCCGCCTCCCGGGTTAAAGTGATTCTCCTGCCTCAGCCTCCCAAGTAGCTGGGATTACAGGCGTGTACCACCACACCCAGCTAATTTTTGTATTTTTAGTAGAGATGGGGGTTTCACCATGTTGGCCAGGCTGGTCTTGAACTCCTGACCTCAGGTGATCTGCCCTCCTTGGCCTCCCAAAGTGCTGGGATTACATGTGTGAGCCACTGCTCCCTGCCCCCTCACTTTTGATGGGTACTGGTAGATCAGTTTGCAGAAGAGGTCACAATCTGGGTTTGTCTGGTGCTTTCTTGTGATTAGACTGAGATTACACACTTATGCAGGAATGCCACAGCGATATGTTACTTTAAGTTTTGTTTCTTCTTTTTTTGTGGTAAAAAATACAACATAAAATTTACCACTTAAACCACTATAAAGTGGATGATTCAAGGGCATTCAGTAGATCCATCCTGTTGGATCACTTCTATCTAGTTCTAGACTTTTTCATCAACCTAAAAGGATACCCCAAGCTCCTTGTCTTCCTCCCCTAGCACCTGGCAACCATGAATCTGGGTTGCTGCTACGGATTTGCCAATTCCAGACATTGCATCTGGATGGAATCATGTGATGTGTGTCCTTTTGCGTCTCGCTTCTTTTACTAGCATAACGTTTCCCGGGTTCCTCCACACTGCCATTCCTTTTCGTAGCTGAATAATGTTCCATGCATGGATAGACCACATTTTACTTTTCTTTTCTTTTTTTTTTTTTTTTTTTGAGACGGAGTTTTGCTGTTGTTTACCCAGGCTGGAGTGCAATAGCGCGATCTCGGCTCACCGCAACCTCCACCTCCTGGGTTCAGGCAATTCTCCTGCCTCAGCCTCCCGAGTAGCTGGGATTACAGGCACGCACCACCATGCCCAGCTAATTTTTTGTATTTTTAGTAGAGACGGGGTTTCACCATGTTGACCAGGATGGTCTCGATCTCTTAACCTCGTGATCCACCCGCCTCAGCCTCTCAAAGTGCTGGGATTACAGGCGTGAGCCACCGCGCCCGGCCCTTACTTTTATTTTCTAATTAACAGTGAGACCTGGTGTGGGCCTCGCGCTGGGCCTGGGAGGCGATGGAAGAGAGCCCGGTGACTGGCAGGAGGTACTGTGGGGTGTGGGGAGGAGTTGGGATCTGCATGCTAGGGAGAATAGGATTTTTTTTTGATTCGGAGTTTTTCTCTTGTTGCCCAGGCTGGAGAGCAATGGCACGATCTCGCTCACCACAACCTCCACCTCCCGGGTTCAAGCGATTCTCTTGCCTCAGCCTCCGGAGTAAATAGTATTACAGGAATGTACCACCACATCTAGCTAATTTTGTATTTTTAGTAGAGATGGGGTTTCTCCATGTTGGCCAGGCTGGTCTCGAACTCCTGACCTCAGGTGATCCGCCCGACTCGGCCTCCCAAAGTGCTGGGATTACGGGCGTGAGCCACCGCGACCAGGCCGAGAATAGGATTTTATTTACACGTGGCAACGTTGATGGAGGCCATTGCAGAAGTGCAGTTATGGGACGCGAACTCCTTTGAAAGTTTCATTTGTGTAAAAGGAAAAGCAGGAGTTCATGAGGAGGGAGAGAGGGGCTCAAGGACAGTAAGGCAAGCTCCCCTTGGCACGGGGGGACGTGGTCGTCGGTGGGCCCAGTTTTGGAGGCTTGGGCCGCGGAGGTCACCCCGTGAGCAGGTCCAGGGCCCGCCGAGTGTCCCGGGGCGCGCATTCGTTGCTTATAGAGCCAGGGGCGCCGCCCGGGAGGGAACTCCAACGGTTGGAAACTTCGATTTATCCCACAGGCGTGCCGAGTGGGAAGGCAGCATTTTGATTTCCCAAACGTTGCGCCCAGCGGCTCCTTCCACGGCAGGCGCCTTCAGGTCTCTCCATGGGGTCGGGGCTCCCGGTGTCGCGCGGTGTCCCGCAGTGCCCGAAGAGCCCGCAGTGCCCGCAGCGCGCTGCCTTGGACAGGCGCCGCCCGGGGCGGAGGGCGGAGCCGGGCGCGCGCCCGCCCCGCCCCGCAGCCCCGAGCCCGGTGCGCGCACCAAGGCGGGGCGGCGCGCGGCCGGTGCGCGTGTCCGGGGCCCGGAGGCGGCGGCGGCGTGCGCGGGCCGCGCGTGCGCGCTGCAGCGGGGCGAGGGGCGGCGCGGGCGCGCGTCTGTCAGTGACAGCGGGCGGGGCAGGGGCCGGAGATGGTGGCGGCGGCGGCGGCTCTTCCGACATGAGGCAGCGGCCGCGGGGGACACGGCGGCGGGCGCGGCGGCGGCCGCGTCTCTAGCTCGGGGAGGCGGCCCCCGGCGCGGGCTGGCGGGCGGGCGTCCCGGCCGGCGTCGCGGGAGCCCGGCTCTGAGGTAGCGTCCGCACCGCCGCCCGGCGAGTGGCCCGCGCCCTCGGCTCCCCGCGCTCGGTCCCGGGACAGCGGCGGCCCCGGCGGGGGCGGCGGCGCGCTCGGGGGAAGCAGGCCCCGCTAGACGGGCCGCGCCGACGGGCTCCGCGCACTCGCGGCCAGGGGCGCCCCCACCCCCAGCGCCCGCCGCGGCGAGCAGGGCGGGCCCGGAGCGCGGGGGGCGGCCCAGGGAGCGCGGGCCCGGGGCGCCCGCCGAGGCTCGCGGCTCCTGTGGGGGCCGGGGCCGGGGCCCGCAGCGCGCTGCCTTTGACGCATCGGAGCGCGGCTCCTGCAGGATGGAGGGCTCCGCGCCGCCGGCGGAGTTGTTTGTGCGCAGGCGGCTCGCGGGGCTGGGAGCGCTCAAGGTCTGAACTTCCCTCCGGAGCCGCAGCTGGAGGAGGCGAGCGCGCGGGGAGTAGAAGCCGTGCGGCGCGGAGGCCACCCTCGGGGCGAGCGGCGCGGAAGGCGAGCGGGCACCGCGGTCTGGGACTCACGGCAGCCACGCGTCGGGGACCCCCGGGCGCTCTAGGTCTGTACCGAGCGGTTCGCGTCCGCCTCGAAGCGGGGGCGGTGGGGGCACGGCTGAGCCGGGATCCACACACAGTTTCGGGGAGCCTCTGGTGCCTTTCCTAGCCGCGTGCTGGAGCCGCCCCTTAGGACGGCAGCGAGTCCCCGGCCCCTAGGTGTGCGTGTCCAGGTGGGAGCGCCACTAACTCTCCCCGTTTTGCTGGCAGGTACTGGTGACCCCGGCCGGGGCAGGCCCCGGGACTCGGCAACATGGCTTCCCCGCCCCACCAGCAGCTGCTGCATCACCACAGCACCGAGGTGAGCTGCGACTCCAGCGGGGACAGCAACAGCGTGCGCGTCAAGATCAACCCCAAGCAGCTGTCCTCCAACAGCCACCCCAAGCACTGCAAGTACAGCATCTCCTCCAGCTGCAGCAGCTCCGGGGACTCCGGGGGTGTCCCCCGGCGAGTGGGCAGCGGAGGCCGCCTTCGCAGGCAGAAGAAGCTCCCCCAGCTGTTCGAGAGGGCCTCCAGCCGCTGGTGGGACCCCAAGTTCGACTCGGTAAACCTGGAGGAGGCCTGCCTGGAGCGCTGCTTCCCGCAGACCCAGCGCCGGTTCCGGTATGCACTCTTCTACATTGGCTTTGCTTGCCTTCTGTGGAGCATCTATTTTGCGGTCCACATGAGATCCAGACTGATCGTCATGGTCGCCCCCGCTCTGTGCTTCCTCCTGGTGTGCGTGGGCTTCTTTCTGTTTACCTTCACCAAGCTGTACGCCCGGCATTACGTGTGGACCTCGCTGGCCCTCACCCTGCTGGTGTTCGCCCTGACCCTGGCTGCACAGTTCCAGGTCTTGACGCCTGTCTCAGGACTGGGCGACAGCTCCAATCTGACGGCTGCAGCCCAGCCCACGGACACGTGCTTATCTCAAGTGGGGAGCTTTTCCATGTGCATCGAAGTGCTCTTCTTGCTCTACACCGTCATGCACTTGCCTTTGTACTTGAGCTTGTGTCTGGGGGTGGCCTACTCTGTCCTTTTCGAGACCTTTGGCTACCATTTCCGGGATGAAGCCTGCTTCCCCTCGCCCGGAGCCGGGGCCCTGCACTGGGAGCTGTTGAGCAGGGCGCTGCTCCACGGTTGCATCCATGCCATCGGGGTCCACCTGTTCGTCATGTCCCAGGTGAGGTCCAGGAGCACCTTCCTCAAGGTTGGACAGTCCATCATGCACGGGAAGGACTTGGAAGTGGAGAAAGCCCTTAAAGAGAGGATGATTCACTCCGTGATGCCAAGAATCATAGCCGACGACTTAATGAAGCAGGGGGATGAGGAGAGTGAGAATTCTGTCAAGAGGTATGCCACCTCGAGCCCCAAGAATAGGAAGAAGAAGTCTTCCATACAAAAAGCTCCTATTGCCTTCCGCCCTTTTAAGATGCAGCAGATCGAGGAAGTCAGTATTTTATTTGCAGATATCGTGGGCTTCACCAAGATGAGTGCCAACAAGTCCGCCCACGCCCTGGTGGGTCTCCTGAACGATCTGTTCGGTCGCTTCGACCGCCTGTGTGAGGAGACCAAGTGTGAGAAGATCAGCACTCTGGGAGACTGTTACTACTGCGTGGCGGGCTGTCCCGAGCCCCGGGCCGACCATGCCTACTGCTGCATTGAGATGGGGCTGGGCATGATCAAGGCCATTGAGCAGTTCTGCCAGGAGAAGAAGGAAATGGTGAACATGCGGGTCGGGGTTCACACGGGCACCGTCCTGTGTGGCATCCTGGGCATGAGGAGGTTTAAATTTGATGTGTGGTCCAACGATGTGAACCTGGCCAATCTCATGGAGCAGCTGGGGGTGGCCGGCAAAGTTCACATTTCTGAGGCCACTGCAAAATACTTAGATGACCGGTACGAAATGGAAGATGGGAAAGTTACGGAACGGCTGGGCCAGAGCGTGGTTGCTGACCAGTTGAAAGGTATGTGCACTTCCATACCTCGGTATCCTCCCTCCCTGATCCTGATCGTATTAACTTAAAAAAAAAAAAAATCTTCAAGCCTCAGTGTCTAGAGGGAGCTCAGGTGTCAGATGCCTTACTGGGGGGAATCTCAGGGTCTGTGATTTTTCCTCCAGCTGGTCAGGTATCACAGATCTATTCACACTGCAGAAAAGGACGCTGGGCAGAGATGACCTAGATGCGACCTTTAGAAGAAAGGAGAACTTTCGAAAGTGCCTAACCACTGGTTGGCTGAAACGTGGGGGCACATCTCGTGAACGTCAGGGCCTGGAGCCCTTCAGCATTTAGCACTTTTTAGCACTTAAGGAAATTGCCTTTGCATTTCATTCGGTCATCCCCAAGTCCCACCCAAATGTTTCTCTATGCCCCTTTTTTTGTGAAAACGTGGAGAAATAAAACCTTTCTCCTCTCTAGGCCTCACTTTGCTGATCCTCAAAATAGGGAGAGGAGGTCGGCTCAGTCCTGCTGGACTCTGGAGAATGAGACGGAGTTACTTACCTCTGAGTGCACACTGCCTTTTATCTAGGTCTTTTTTAAAAAAAGTTTGTATTTTCAGCTTTCAGCCGCCATTTGTTTAAGGATGGTTTCTTAACATAGCGTTTGCCTTAAGTGAGGAGCCTGGCATTTTAGAATATTGAGCGTCTCCAGCCACCAGGTGATTTGGAAGGGGGAAAGGTACCCGCAGGAGAGCTGGTATCCCCTCCCTCTAGCTCTCAGGTTTGAATCTGGTGCCTGGTCCCTGGTTTTAAGCTCCTGACCCCTATTCTTGGTGTTTTTACTGGGCTGCTGCTTTTTTTATTATAGGACAAAAATCTTTGAGATCTGGAAGAGGATGTTTGAGTGGAACGAAAGATGTACTAATCTGCTGCATTTCTCCCCACCGACCCTTTTCACATAGTCCTGAGTTTTACTAAAGTCTTCAGGGTTGAGGGGAATATCTGTTTTGGAAGTATGTGGAGAAAATAACACTGATCTTTTTTTTTTAAAGCCTGCTTTTGTTAAGCTGTATCGTATTTTGTGGTCCTCACACACTGCATAATTAAACAGTAAAAAACCTCAGGAAAGGGAATCCTTTCCTGAGGAGAAGTAATTAATAGTTTCTGGCAGAGATGGCAGAAGTAATAGTTTCAATCAGAGACGGCCAGTGGCTGAGTTAAGGGTTTCACTGGTTGTCGGGGTGAGAGAGTCCTATATACTCAGTTGGCATTCTCTTCCTCTGGCTGGTGATCTGAGCTCCTGTATCTTTTGTGTATTTGTTACCTGGCAAGGGAGCATGTTTCTTCTGATTTTTCTTTATTTTACTAATTGGGCTGTTGAAGAATTTATGGATGTAAGCGAAAACTATTTTCACCTGAGAATTCCCTTGACCTAGAGCGCTTTAAGGGCTGCGTTGACGAGGTCAGAAACGACACTTTCCGTTCACTTGAAAGACGCTGCAGTGACAAGTGTCTTTCCGTGTAGGGGGTGGCACTTGCTCTTGAGCCTGACGGTGCCAGTGGGCGGGGCTGTGGGTGTGACCCCCTGCTTGGCACTTGGGCGTTTTTAGGACCCAGGTGTTGTGACCTCTGTCCTTGGGGACTGTGGGGTGGTGGAGCTGGGCAGCGCTACGTTAAATCAACTATGCTGGCCCAAAGGACAGTGAGAGCCGCTTCGTAAGTTGTACTTCGTATGCTGTATTACTCGAATTTCAAAAAGGAAAAGGGTGTCATTGTTAAGTCTGTTTGGAAATTGCCAGGTCATTGAATACTACTTTGTGAATTTACGAACAGTTTAAATTTTAAGTTTGTAGATCAGGGGTCTCAGACACTGAGCCAAAAAAAAAAAAAACCAAAACAACCCAGCTAGAGTGGGTCTGTGCTTGTTTTTTTTAAACCTCAGATAATGTAAATTTGGTAATTTAACTTTTCTTGACATTTGTGTACATTGTGTATGTATGAAAGTGTTAGCGCTGCAGGGAGTAGGGAAGACAGAAGGCTTAGCTAAGCCGCTGGTTTTTTAACCGTGAGATTCTCTCCCTTAACGGTTTCCCTGAGACCACGATCTCGTGTCCTGGAACTCATTTGGAAGACCTTTGTGGCTAGGACTCCAGGAATAGAGTATGTCTACACAACTTCCTGGACCTTTCTGAAACTGTCCTTACAAAACTAAATTGAGATGATAGCACAGTTTGTAGAAGACCTTTGCATACACAGAGTTAAGCTTATCTACATGTAAGATTGATTTTAGCCTTCTGTCTTTGGGCTGGTGGCAGATGTTTTCTCTATACAATATTGGGTATGATGGGAGGCTGAGGAAGGAGAATGATTTGAACCCAGGAGGAGGAGGTTGCTGTGAGCTGAGGTCGTGCCATTGCACTTCATCCTGGCGACAGAGCAAGACTGTGTCCCAAAAAAACAAAACAAAAAAACAACCGAGAAAACCCCCAGTATTGGGTATTAGCCTTTCCCCTTACCCCATTCTCTGATCCCAGGGTTAAAAAGCATCCAGAAGCAGCCCTGCAGGAGTGAGCATCCAGAGAATGAGAAGGGGCTTCTTGAACTAGCCTGGGAGCACAGTAGGAAGCTCCTCTCACTCTGATTGATGTGAGCAGGCTTTGCAGAAGGGTAGTTTCTTGATTTCTGCACATTCCCTCACTCTGAAATCTGTGCTGTGTGCCCAGTGCCGACTGTGCACCTGGCACTGTGGATATGGAGGTGGACCTGTGATCGTGCATAGTTGGTGGGACATGACTCCAGAGGTGGGGCGCAGATGCCAGACCAAATTGAGGACTAGCGAATGCAGAGACAGGCCGGAAGCAGCGTTCTGTGAGGCGCACCCACCAGTGTGCCATGTCAGTTTACTGTTACCAGGGCAACACCTGGAGTTACTGCCCCTTTCTGTGGCAATAACCTGACAACCCAATAGCCATCACCCTTTTCCTAGAAATGTCTGCCTATGCCGCCCCTTAATCTACATGGAATTAAAAGTAGGTATAAGGTAAGGCTGGGCGCGGTGGCTCACGCCTGTAATCCCAGCACTTTGGGAGGCCAAGGCGGGTGGATCACCTGTGTTCATGAATTTGAGATCAGCCTGGCCAACATGAAACCCCGTCTCTACTAAAAATAAATTAACCAGGTGTGGTGGCACGTACCTGTAATCCCAGCTGCTCGGGAGGCTGAGACAGCAGAATAGCTTGAACCCAGGAGGTGGAGATTACAGTGAGCTGCGATCATGGCCTCTGCACTCCAGCCTGGGCCACACAGCGAGACTGCATCTCAAAAAAAAAAAAAAAAAGTAGGTATAAGTATGATTGTAAAATTGCCCTGAGCTGCTCCTTTCTGCCTATAGGGGAACCCAGCTTTGCAGGAGCAGTCACGGAGCTATAACACCGCCTGTCTCTTCAATCAAGCTGTTTTCTTTCCTGCCACCGGCTTGCCCTTGAATTCTTTCCTGGGCAAAGCCAAGAACCCTCCTGGGCTAGGCCCCACTTTGGGCTCACCTGCCCTGCATTAATAGTTCCCGACCTCCGCGATTTCACAGTTAAAAATGTTGTGGAGTATGTCCATGAGTGGGGAGTGTTTTAGAGGGGACTCATGCTGGAGCTGGCTCCTGAGACCAGCTCATGGCTCTCCAGGTGGACAGAAGAGCACCGGGGTAGAGCAGAGAGGTGGGGCGGGTGTGGGGGAGGGGCTGGGACCTGTGCTGCTCTGAGGGAGCTGGCGATTGTAAGTTGTTCATCAGGACAGGGAAGGCCGTGGGTAACGTGGGAAGGAGTTTGGATTTGATCCTCTAGGTGTCAGGGAACCACTCAGCATGGGGCTTAGGTGATCTGACTTGTGGTTTTTGAGTGTTCACTCTTTGGAAGGAGATTAATGAGGTGTTGATAAATCCCAGGTAGGGGTGATGGTGGCCCAATCCAGGGTCACAGCAGCCGATGGAGCTGATGGGACAGAGCTGAGTGGCATTAGGAAGACCAGCTTGATGGGACTGCAAGCCACATTTAGACAAATGACAGGCAGGAGGGGAAGGACTTGACTGTGTGAATGGGAAATGGCATTTTAAGTTTCTGGAAGTGACCTGGAGACAATGTGGAGACAGGAATGGGTGAGGGGCCTCTGAAGTGGAGAAAGCGGGATGGACTTGCAGAATATGGAAGGGGCCTGGAACCCCTGGTCTGCCCTTTCATTCAGCAAATCACTTCTGTGCAAGGCTTATTTCTGGGTTGTAGGGATACAGCCATAAACAAAACAGACACAAGTTCCTGCTCTTGTAATAGGGACAAGAGTTTTTAAGTCCATCATAGAGTTTCTACAGGAGGGCGGCTGGAGCCCAGGAGGTCGAGGCAGCGGGAGCTGTGATCGCACCGCTGCACTCTAGCCTGGGCGACAGTGAGACCCTGTCTCTAAGAAACAAAAACTAGGCTTTCTAATAGCGGAGATCTGACAGAGGGGCCAAAAAGGGAGTGAAACCGTAAGTAAGTAAAATAGGAAAAGTGTTTTGTGAAAAAACATAAGGCAGGAAGGGGATATAGAAGATGGGGTGTGAGTGTGAGAGATCTTATGTAGGGTGGCCAGTCACTGGGAGAAAGTTGCAGGGATTTTCAGCATACTGGTAGGATTTTGGAATTAATCTGAGAAGTGAGGGGCCGGGTGCAGGGGCTCAAGCCTGTAATCCCAGCATGTTGGGAGGCCGAGGCAGACAGATCACCTGAGGTCAGCAGTTTGAGACCAGCCTGGCCAACGTGGTGAAACCCCATCTCTACTAAAAATACAAAAATCAGCCAGGCATGGTGGTGCGCGCCTATAATCCCAGCTACTTGAAGGGCTGAGGCAGGGGAATTGCTTGAACCCGGGAGGCGGAGGCTGCAGTGAGCCGAGATCACCTCATTGCCCTCCAGTCTGACTGACAAGAGCGAGACCCTGTCTCAGAAAAAAAAAAAAAGCGCAGGACAGTTGTTAAAGATACGGAGAAATGTTCTGATT